GTGAAAGTAGACGAGCAACTGTCTTCCTCACTCTAAACCTTCTCCCCGCTTGAAAAGGTGACAAGACAGAGTCGAGATGACCGAGCAGGAATCAGGCGTAAGCCGCCTTCTCCAATGCAGGCCAGAAACACCGGCTAACAGTAGCCTTTTGCGCTGGTACTACTGCACTACCTATCTTGACTCACCTTCAGCAGGTGTCCAGAAACACTCAAGGAGACTGAGTCTGATATTACTGCTGCAACTATTTATACTGCTACTTACTAGCAGTGAAGTTGGGTGATAGTACTGCTGGTACTATTACGGACGCTAATACAGTAGACGCCAAACATGATGCAAAATTTCGACAGATGCGAAAGACTGATATTCTTTCGCTAATCGGCATTGACTCAGGTTGTGATACTGATTTTTGTGTAGTCTATTCTGAAGCCATTTCAGTCATGATAGGATGTGTGCTTTTTAACGAGCATCGTTTTGACCTCTGACAAAACATATATATATTGTAAAAACCGGCTACTTAAGTAGTATGCCTTTTTATCGTTTATTTTGACTGCCTTTATAAATGCAAATATGTTTTATGGAAAACATGCATGAAAAAATTGTTTCCTGTACTTGTTTGATAGCAAGTTAAGCCTTCTTTAAATTTCATACTCAAAGAAAGGGTATCTTTCGGTTTTAAAAAAAGTTGCTAATTATGAGCTTTTCTACGATTGTGAGGTCTTCATTCATAATACATCGAATCCGTAAATTTATTAGTGCTGCCTGTACTGCATAAAATAAATTCCAAACCTATTTCAATATTTTATGACTAATGGGTGACTTCTTCCTCAAACTGTACATTTCCTTAAACAGGATGTACACAGTGCGTCGTTTTTAAACCTTGAATTCGAGTGTAGCATTTACTAGTTTAGAAAATTGTTCAGCAATTGAGCAGCTTTTTTAAAACCGAAAGCTACCCTTTCTTTGAGTATAAAATTTAAAGAAAGTGTAATTTGCTATCAACCAAGTACAAGAAATAATTTTTTCGTGCATGCTTTCCACAAAATATATTTGAATTTATAAAGGCAGTCAAAATAAGTGAAAAAT